TCCGAATCGCACTACTCCGCGAATCGGACAAACTCGGAGAAAGGCTGGCTCGCCAACCTCGAACTGAATATCTCGTCGATGATGATCGGCGGAAGATTTCTGTCAACTCTGAGCTGTCTTGAGTCTCTGCCGGATCAACTCGACCTGATCTGCTGTCTCCTCGATCAACTTAGGACCGAGTACTCGTCGCTCTCCGACGTCGTCCCAATAGAGAGGGGAACGACACTTGCGACCGTAAAGTGCCTTGTACGGAGCCATCGGAATAGAAGAATGGTAGCTGTTGTTATACGCGAACTCAGCGTACGGCAATAGCGACTCCCACTTAGCACCCCTGTCAACAACCAAAGCGCGAAGCATATCCTCAAGCGTCTGAATAGTCTGCTCTGACTGACCGTCTATCTCCGGATGATAGGCTGAACTGAACTCTAGCTTCGTGCCCATCGCCTCATGTAAGTTATGCCAGAATCTGCTGACAAATCTGGGATCTCTGTCTGATACAATAGTGACGGGCACTCCGTGGAGTCGAATGATCTCACGGATATATATCTCAACCAATTTGTCCAGAGACATCTTCATCGAAACGGGTAAGAAATGCGCGACCTTAGTCAATCTGTCGACCACGACCCAGATAGAGTCGTGATGTTCAGACGACCTCGGCAATCCTGTAACGAAATCCATTGTGACTTCCTCTCACTTCCACCTCGGAATCTGCAGTGGCTGCAGGAGGCCAATCGGACTCTGATGTTCGGCCTTGACTTGCTGACAGGTAAGACATCTCCTGACGAACTCGGCGACGTCCTTCTTCATACCTCGCCACCAGAACGACCCTTTCATATCGTGATACATCTTCGTGCTCCCGGGATGGGCCAAATAGGGTGCGGTATGTGCCTCTAATAAAATCTCTTTCCGCAACGCATCGACCTTCGGGACCACGATCCTGCCTCTGAACTCTAGGGCACCATCGGCACCTAGCTGAAAACCCTCGACGCCTCCGGCGCAAACCTTGGCCTCCATGACACGAACGAACTCGTCAGAAGCCTGCTCTCGCCGGATTCTCTCTCTCAGCGTCGGCTGAAGCTGCATAGCACTGACACTGGCACTGGTACTCCCCTAAACTGCTATGGGAAGTGCATCAATCGCCTGAAGCTGCATCCGGGCAAACTCTTGAATCAACAGACTCTGCTGAGTAATGACGTACATCAAGTCACCCCTCACCTTTCGGCTTAGGGCGTCAGCAACAACGTTCACCTTCCCTGGATGATACTGAATCGAGCAGTCGTAATCCTTGACGAGCTCTAACCAACGACGCTGTCTCATGTTGAGCTCCTTCTGAGTAAAAATATACTGCAAGCTCTTATGATCTGTGAAAATCTCACAGTGACCGCCGTAAAGATAGTGTCGCCAAATCTTAAGAGCAGGAATGACTGCTGCTAACTCCAAGTCGTGCGTCGGATAGTTCTGCTCATGAGGCTTAAGTTGACGTGAAGCATACGCAACGACTTGGCCATCCTGCAGAAGGACGCATCCCAAGCCCTGTCTCGAAGCATCGCTGAAGATGGTGAAACTCCAGAAGGATCGGGAATAGTCAACACCGGTGCTGAAGTTAATCTCCTCTTGAGCTCCTAAAAGCTCGACTCACATCGGTCAGTCCACTCGAACTTCACAGACTTCCTCGTCAGCTGGGATAGAGGGAGGGCGATCTTGGAAAAGCCCTCGATAAACCTGCGATAGTATCCAGCTAGACCGAGAAAACTGCGAAACTCAGACGAACTCCTCGGTGTCGACCAGTTCTGAACGGTGGAGACCTTGGAAAGATCCACCTCGATACCTGCCTGAGTAATCACATGACCCAGAAAGGATACTCGCTGAAGCCAGAACTCGCATTTGGAGAATTTTGCAAACAACTTTTCTCGTCTGAGGGTTTCAAGAACCACCCTCAGATGCTCCTCGTGCTCCTTCTGGCTCTTCGAGTAGATAAGAATATCGTCAATAAAGACAATAACAAACTAATCGAGGTAGGGATGGAAGATACGGTTCATGAGGTCCATGAAAACTGCTGGCGCATTGCTGAGACCGAATGGCATGACAACGAACTCGTAATGGCCGTAACGAGTCCTGAAATCGGTCTTAGCGATATCTGACTCCTTAATCTTCAGCTGATGGTAGCCTGATCGTAAATCAATCTTTGAGAATACACAGGCTCCCCTCAGCTGATCAAATAAGTCGTCGATCCTGGGAAGCGGGTACTTATTCTTGATCATCAACCGGTTAAGATCCCGGTAGTCGATACACATGCGCATGGATCCATACTTCTTCTTAACAAAAAGAACCGGTGCTCCCCAAGGTGACACGCTCGGTCGGATAAAACCGAGTTGTAATAGCTCCTGAATTTGTGCCTTAAGCTCCTGCAATTCCTTAGGCGCCATGCGGTACGGGGCTTTGGACACTGGACCGGCTCCTGGAATGAGATCGATTGAGAACTCCACCTCCCGGTTAGGCGGTCCTCATGGAAGCTCGTCTGGGAATACGTCCACAAACTCTCGAACGACTGGAACATCGTGAGGTGAACGTGCTTTCTTAGAATCGTCGACAAGGCTCACCAAATAACCCTGGCAGTTGCCTCGTCGCAACAACTTAGTGGCTTTCGCCATCGAAACAACATGAAGCAAAGAACGATTCCTGGAGCCGAAGAAAGTAATCGACTCGTCTCCCGGAAGATAGAGAGTAATATCCCGGTCGTGACATCTGATATCTGCATAATAAAAAGATAGCCAATCCATTCCGAGAATAAGATCAAAGTCTCTCATCTCGAGAACAAACGCGTCGGTAGACAAAACTCGGCCACCGATGGAAAGGCTAAGATCTGAAGCTTTAGCTGAAGTCACTATCTTTCTTCCTGAGGCCAAACTCACCTCAAGAGGATAGATAGCAGTAGTGGCGCGAACTCCGATGGCGTCAAGACATCGTCGAGAAATGAAAGTATTGTTGGTGTTATATACTTAAGCTTTGCTTTAGTGGATATTACACTTGTTATTCCTTGATGAATGAGAATTATGTTTGGTTAAATAAGTTCCACGTTCTGTTGTTTTGCATGTAGATAAGTGGGTCGTCATCGGGCGTACCGAAGATCACTATATCAGTTACTTGCGAAACAAGAATCGTTGGTTCACAACCTAGATGGAATTGAACAACCCATCGGAACGATTGTAGTGTCAACCGTACGGTTTGTCTTGACCGATTAGTTGCACTAGTACATTTATGTATTGAACAGGATCCCAGAGAGGGATGCTTGTTTTATACTAATCGTCGTAAACGAACTAGGCCTCGGTTAATTATTGCGTGCTCTT